AAACGAGAGAAACAAAACCGCAAAGCTTATCGAAAGAGCCTAAAGAAAGAGCCTCCGTCGAAAGGAGGTAGATCAACGGACAATCGCGGCTGACAATCGCGAAAGTAAAGTCCACCATCTGTTAGAAAGCCCGAGAGATCTCCTTCTGAGTATAACTGAGAATGCTGGAAGCACTTCGATTAAGCAAAATCGTAAGTGGAATCGGTACGAGATTTCACACATCTCGCGTTGACGGACGGATCGGATTGTCACTGCGCTAGCTAGAACTTCGGCAAACAACGTTCGGATTTGTTCGCATCGCAATAAAGACGCGTCTATCGCATAGCCGTGCAAGCCGGGTGATAAGCGGGCGAAATGTCATTCGCTTTGGAAATCCTCCTCCGGCTGGATTCAAAAATCGGATCATGTGTAATCGTTCTCATCCTCCTGTCGCTCATCGAACGTCAAACAAGGATGAAACGATGCCTGGGTGGTGTCGTTCGGCTGTTACTTCTGAACGCACCCTCCCCCTCCCCCCCCCCCTCCTGTGTAAGGGATAGGGCACGATCGGAGTGCCCTCGAGTGCACGCGTCGCGTCGTGCGTAAATAAGATGGAACGATAAAATGCGAACGATCGTTCACGCGAAGGAATCGTAAAACCCCCGCACGCGTCTTTTTAACACCGAGAGCCGCTAGTCGGAGCGTGTCCGCCCTCGACCCTTTGAAATTCCCTTCCCCATTCTGCTCGTTTATTGCTGTAATAACAATATAAAATGAAAAATTGTCATTTTTTTGTTTGCTTAAAAAAAAAAAAAAAAACAAGATTTTTAAAATGTTTATTGTCTAGTGCTAGAGCGACTACGATTAAGCTTCTAAAGCCTTTAAAACGCATAATTTTGCATCAAAAATATTACAATTCAAAAAGGATTGCTTTTAAGGTTCCTATTTACTCATCTCGAATTATAAAATCAGAAGCAAGAAAATATACAATAAAAATTCTTGCTTTATCATATTAAAATGGAAGTATATTTTAATAAAGCAATACTTATAATAGAAGCGACTTGTAAAATATATAAATTCTCCTTTTGTTTGTTAATTAATAAATAGCCATATATCTGAAATTATGCATAACCAAAAACGAAATAAGCTAAGAATTCACAGCTATAACAACTGTCAAATTAATAATACATAGAAATAAAGAATATGATTTAATTTCTCCCCGAAATAAAAAGAGGTTTTAGTTTTTAGATATTTTATAAGTCTATTCTATTAATCGCAAATGTTGTTTTATTGAAAAATATTTCTATTTAAATATATTTTGCAAGAATTTTTATTGACTCTTTTTTCGCTTCTGACGTCACAATCTAAGTTAATAGCGGTGAGTGAACAGGAACCTTAAGGGTTATTTTTTACAATTATTTTTATAATTATGCATTGAGTGAAGAGCTAATGATATTTTTATTCCATTATAATTAATTATATAATATTATAAAAATGCATTTAAAAATATTATAAAATCTTAATGAATAATTAATTCGAAACATTTAAATTTATTTTCTAGAAAACTTTATTTTTTGAGTTATATCTTCGTTACAGCAAATGAAATATAAAAAAACAATAAAGAAATGTATGTGCAATCAAGAGTCAAGCTGTTGTTGATGCGCAAAAATATAATAAACATACTTATTCCATATTAAGAAACAAAGTGCATAATTGTAGTAAATCAAATCGAATGTTTTAACTCATTTTCCAACCATTCTCAACAGAATTAAATAAAATCCAATGATATAATCATACCAATGGTAAAATCCTGTGTAATATAAAGATCAGCCATATCAGATCGATGTAGGAAATGTATCATTGATATGATTTTATCTTGGATTTCATCGATAATGGCTCGAAAATAAGCCGAAACGTTACGATTTTATTACAATTGTGTCTTTCAATTATTACTTAATGTGACGTAATGTGACGTACATACGTTTAGTAGATTTTTCGCGCGCCAATAATAGCGCTCGATTTCTCACACTGTCCCTACATTTTTGTTGTCCCTACATTTCCTCCGAATACATTTTATCG